CATAACCCTTCACAAACTTCCTATAATATCCTGTTAACCCTAGAAAGGCTCTTAGTTCTGTAAAAGTTGTTGGTGTGGGCCAGTGGACCATAGCTGCTGTCTTCTGGGGATCAGTGGCTACCCCATCAGCTGATATAATGTGCCCCAAGTATTCCAACTGGCTTTGAGCAAAGGAACATTTGGACTGCTTCAAATAAAGCTGATTGGCCAACAGTGTCTGGAGAACCAGCTATAAATGTGTCTGGTGTTCTTGTAATGATTTGCTATATATGAGAATATCATCTAAGAACACTAGGACAAATTTCCTTAGAAAAGGTTGAAGGACTTGGTTCATGATGCACTGGAAAGTAGCTGGTGCATTAGTGAGCCCAAATGGCATTACCTTGAACTGGTAATGGCCCTGATGTGTTTTGAAGGCAGTCTTGTACTCATCTTCCGGCAACATTCTCACCTGGTGATACCCTGACCTCATGTCCAACTTAGTGAATATTTCTGCTCCAGACAACTCATCAAGAATCTCTTCAATAACTGGCATTGGAAATCTGTTCTTGACAGTCATGTCATTCAACTTTTTGTAGTCCACACAAAATCGCCAAGACCCATCTTTTTTTTTACTAGGAGGACAGGGGAAGCAAAAGGGCTATGGCTGTGGGTGATTAACCCAGCCTATAACAGTTTCTGGACCTGCTCCTCTATTTTAGTTTTGTGTTGAGGAGAATAGTGGTAAGGTCTGGCATTGACAGGTATAGCTCCAGGGATGAGTGGAATGGAATGATCATAGCTCCTGGATGGTGGTAGTGTCTGGGGATCATGGAAAACTTGGCTATGTTGATCAAGAATGTGTTGTATAGTTGGAGGTGGTTCGGCTGGTGGAAGGTTGGGTGGAGATAAGGTGGCATGGGTGGGTTTGACAATAACAAAAGCCCAACTGTTATTGCCTTTGGTGTCTTTGTATAACTTACTGGCAGAAATGGGTTTGGTTTGCAAAGGAGGGGAGATAATGCCCTGGAGCTTAACTGGTTTGTTGTGGATGTGGAACTATAGTGTTTTCTTGGACCAATCCACTTCTATAGGGCCTTGTTGCTTAAGCCAGTCATAGCCCAAGATGGCATCATAAGTAGTCATCTCCAAGACTATCATATCACTGCATAGAGTATGCCCCTGAATATACCACTGTAAGTTCTCTACTTTGGCTGTAGTAGTCAACATGTCTCCATTAGCCAATCTGACTGTCCTTGTTGGTATTGTTACAGTAGCTAACCTGGCCAATTTCACAAAGTTGGAACTGATGAAACTATGTGAACTGCCCGAATCCAATAAGGTAAGCATCACTTTATCTTGCACAAGGGCTTTGAGCTTCATAGAATTGTCAGTATCCATACTAGAGAGTGCATTCAGAGATAAGTGACATAAATCTTGTGCAAGAGTATCTTCAATAGCTAGCTGATTCAGCATATGTTCTGTAATTTCCTCTTTGTTTGTGTCTAGATCATTGATAACCAATACATGGACTTGAGCCTTGTGACGTTTGGGACAATTCTCTTGGTGGCCAGGCTCATACTTATCACCACAAGCAAAACACATATTGTTAGCACGCTTGTAATCTCTCAACTGCCTAATTCTTTACAGATTGGCATTGTTTGTTTGAGGGCTAGGAGTGTCCTGCTTCTAAAACTGTTGCTTGGGAGCAGCAGTGTTCCTATTATATTTGGCCTTGGTTCGCTCTTGGGTTCTCTGCTGGATCTTGGCAATTAGAGCTGCCCTATCAACTATGAGTGGAACATGGGGCTCTACAGCTGCTCTGATGTCATCCTTGAGACCAGCTACATAAGCTGAAGCAAAGAAAACTTCATCATAATGGCTGTTGTGCATGGTAATGTTATACTGCAGTGTCTGAAACGCCAAAGTGTACTCTTCCACGGTACCACTTTGCTTGAGAGCTAGCAGATCAGTGATGGCGGTACGAAAATCAACTATACCAAACTTGGACAGAACGACTGAACAAAATGCAGTCCAGGAGGGCCAAGTGCGACCCTGTTTGTAGGCTTGCCACCATTTGGCGGCATTGTCCTGTAAGTGCATTGTAGCATATGTGACCTTCATCTCCTCTTTGGTCTTGTAGATTTTGAAGTAGTTATCACAGTTGTCCAGCCATATCTTGGGATGGTTGCCATCAAAAGTTGGAAATTGCATCTTGGGAAGTGCATGGTGAGGTGTGGAATCCTTGTGGTGATGCTGCTGTCTGTTGGATGGCTCAGTCTTCACTACATAGTCTTTGTTAGCAAATATGTTGTCAAAATGCGCCTCTTCCGCAAAGCTCAGAGAAACATTCTCTGATTGATGCATTGTAGCCTCATTCTCCATCTGACGTAGTGTTAGAGAAGCCACTGCTTGTCCATTGGCCTGTACTTGCTTGGATATGAGTTTCTGTTCTGCCTTTGTTTCATCCACACTTTGCTTCAACTACTGTTGGATCAGACTGATATCATTCATTTGTTTGAACACGAGGTCAAAATTTTCCATGACCTGCTCCTAGCGACTCTTTTTGTCATCTGTGTTGGTCGACATGGCGTCTAGGATGAACTTGGTCTGAACCGAAGGCTTAGGAGGAGCCGTCGTGAAGAAGTTGAGATACAGTGGATTGACTGGTGTAGTAACAGGTTTGGCCTCTGCCTCCCCAACAATCTACCACACCAAAACTGCAGACTATGCCTGGACACACGGCACCACCAAGGAATTTTACGCGAGAACCTGTCCAGCAACCCGAGTGTGTGAGCGCATCCCCGCCAACGCCACCTCAACCCAATCGAGTAAGAATGCTACGGAATTTTACACGGGAACTTGTCCCGCAACCCTCGCAATCCTTGAATGAGTGCCAAAGGAACTCGTTCCGCCGCCGAGCCCAAATCGATGCCGAACCCTAGCCGAGGAAAGATGGCGTAAAATTTGGGGGAGTGGTTGGTGGGAATTTGGTGTGTTGTGGATGGATGGAGGTGGAAATTGCAGAGCTCTGGTGGAGTAGTGCCACTGCCGGAGCCAACCCAGTTCAACCCAAAGGAGGGACCTCTGGTTCCTTCCGTCGAACACCTCAAGGGTGTTAACGGAGATCCCCTGCCCACCAGAATTACGAACTGTGGATCAAGGCGCCCGGTCGTGTTTCGTACCAAGATGGACTAAGCAACTGCGGTGAGGTGGGTTGAAGGTAGTAGGTTACCAGATGGTAGGAGTGTCGGCGCCGCTGCGAGACAGCCGTCGCCGGATAATTAGCGCGAAGAAGAGCTGCGGTCGCCCGTCACCCCCCACGCCGAGGATACACCGTCTCTGATACCAGCTGTCATGCCCCGTTGCTGCCGGCAAGCGCCGCCGACGTTAGGAGTCCAGGAAGCACCGAGAGACGAGGAAAACGGGAAGAGGAACCTTCCTCTTTCACCGAGTTTTAGATTTCAGAAATGCAATGAGTCTTACAGCGATACAACGCACGCTTAAAAACACATCCCTTGGCCTATGGCCCACATGTCATACTCTGTCTATTACATAACTGCTAGAATACGTCTTCTGGCTTCCTTAGCGACTTCTTTGGTTTACGTCTTCTTCAGCTCAACGGTGTACCAGGTCTGACACACTTGAAGCGGCAGACGGACTTGACAGGGACGCGGGAGAGGATCTCCACCAGGGGGTCGTCAGGGAGGCCGGACGCTGCACCGGCGCTCGTCTTGGAGCAGCCCTCCATGCCTCCCTTCGAGAGCAGTCTGTGTGAAAAATGGGGACCGGGATGGAGGTGAGGGGATGCGATGCGAGGGGGAAAATGCAGCAATGGGGAGACAAAGGGGCCTTACCAGATACCGGAGATGGTCATGATCGCCGGCACCGGCGCAGGGCGGTGCCGAGGCTGAAGATTCAAATTCGATTCGAGATTCGGGCGATTCTAAACCGTAGAGCCGCCCGCTCGTCAGGTCGGTGTCCGTGGCCGCGGCCGGAGCTAGAGCTAATGAGCACTCGGCGGAGTGCGGACAATGTCGTGTCTAGAGGAGTTTGGGCTTCATGTAAATTTAGATTTTGGACTGGGCCTGAAGCCTGAGTGATGGGCCGCAAAGTGGGCTGTCTCGTCTCTGTTCATCTGTGTACTTGCTAGCTAGCTGTAGAGCCTGTCATTGAGTACCACGAGAAATTGAGAGAAATTCCTATAATTTGAAAAAAAAAACTTATATTAGACCAACTTATATTGAGTGATTGCTAAATTGACACCATCTCAGAATTCCTATAATTTTTTTAAAAATGAATTTTATCGTCGTACCGTTGGACGCAAAATGGTGTGCAAAGGAGTACCACGAGAAATTGAGAGAAAAACATAGGCAATGTGATAACATACTGCCATGTGGCATTAACTTATCTTCTACTTCACACTACTAGTACTGTATCCAAAAAAAAGATAAAAATGCGCAACGTGAACATAGTACAGGCTCAGTACCCTGGAGGAGCTGGAATCATCTTCTGACGAATGTCTGACAACTCAATACAAATAGCACAACTCTTCAGTGCAACTCAGTATCCACACCACACAAACATCCAAGCCCGTCTAGCTATCTCTCAAACAGAATCTAATCCCTGATTACATTAAAGATCGAGGCTAAATTAGCAAATGCAATCACAGCCTACGCTAGGCACACCAGGGAAGTAGCAATTTGTGAATGCAGCAGTTGAATCAGCTTATTCTAGTAACAAACAAAATGCATGTCATATGGAAGTTTTGTTTCTTCATACATGCATAAGATTGGGCAGCAGTGGTCACAAACCACAATTGACAATGGAAGCAAGCAGTTGGATACACAGTTACACACTATGCTACAGCCATATGACTAGTACTACTACACAGCAAGAGACGGCCCTTAAAGCTGCCCTAGCCTACCGGTGTATACATCACCTTTGCCCCATTGCGATATAAGTAAATCTTCATACAAGTCTTTGGTCCAGAGAGGCCGAGTAGCTCCTTACAAAGCTCCTCATCGACAGTTTCTTGAGGTTTCTTGAGGATCAAACTTTATATGAACTGATTTGAGCATTCTTGCCCATCCCAGTAGACGTTTCACAAATGCAAAATCATAATCTGATCCGTTAAATCCACAAATGTACAATTCCTGGAGAGAATTCAGGAAAAGCTCCTCAGTTTCCCAGACTTTCTCCCCATGACAGAAACAACCCGGCAAACAAGAAGTTTTTTCCTGCGATGAGGAGCATGAACATAAGAATGGTGAACTTCTCAGCAAACTTTTCAATGGAGACAATTTGAAAAGTATAAGAGAGTGGGAATCATTTAGATACGCAAGCCATCTGAACAACATATGGCAAATCTGCATATTAACATGATATCCATTGGTGTTAGCCAATTGCAGCAATGAGTTCGAGCTGCGAGAGAATTGCAGAAAACAAAATTTCCACAAAATTACATAGAAATATGCCAATCACAAATAACATGCAATTGATAGATTTTGCTTTTTAGGGTTTTAACAGAGCCTTTAGCATGGCTCCATGAGAAGTACCATCAGCTTAAATACTAGACACTTCGTGTAAAATATACCGTCAGTTTGTACACCGGATGCCAGCGAGCAACATCTGCACTGGCACTTGCCCCTCCGTTCCTAAAAAGAATGGAATTCTAGCATAGTACTGAGTCAAACCATCATGTGTTTGACCAAGACTATACAAAAAAAGAAACAATTATTTATGATATCAAATAAGGATCACTAGATTCATTATGGAATATATTTTCATATTATAGCTATTTGGTGTCATAAGTATTGATAACTTGTTTTCTATACATTTAGTTAAACTTTATATAGTTTGACTAAGGAGAAAACTAGAATTGCATTCTTTCAAGGTCGAAGGTAGTAATTTAGGACCCAAAGTAGAGCTTGCATTCTTTCAAGGTCGAAGGTAGTAATTTAGGACCCAAAGTAGAGCTGCAGCTTTTCATTGGTCTTTTTGGAGTAACATGCAGCTGCTAGAATATGTTCATACAATATATTTCTTCTAGAAACAAACCATGAAGAAAATTAGAAAACTACATGTAATAACAAACTAACTCCTGAAGGTCACAATTGGTCAAGCATTAGTGTACTAAACAAAAATATTCCACCACTTTCCAAGCAACCAAAGTATTCGATAGCTGATATAGTAAGAATACCTTAATGACTTCCTGTATATTCAGAAACAGCCTTCTTATACTGGTAGAAATCTTAAGGAAATAGAATACGCAAGAGCCAATATGATGTCCATATGTTACTAAGAACAGGTGTAAGTTCTTAACCGGGGGCAAAGTCAGAGCTTCCATCAAGTACTCTATGTGAACCATGCTCTGCAAATTCATAAAAGGTCACAAGAAAATTTCATATGCAACAATACAGAAAACAACTTTATAGAATAACTGATTTTCTCACAAGGAATGACTGTTACAAATGCAGCAAAACTATTTTAGACTTGTTCTGCAGAGTAATGACACAGAAGATCTCTCCGGTAAAGAATCACAATTACTTGAGAACTACACAGTCACCCTATTTGGGCAATTGGGCCTAACTCTGAGTTGAAGGTGCCCCATCGAACACACTACCTCTACACTCTTGAATTCATGTCCTTGACCAAATATTACAACTATACCAGTGCATTAACGTGAACAGCCATATCTAAATCTGATGTTTGCATTCATGCCCATGTAAGGTCAAGTGTTATAATAGTTGGCATGACCACACACATTATGTTTGTACAACCGTACCTACAGCTGAAGGTCACTGTACCAGTCATTTTATTGATCAGTCAGTTAATTGGCTACATTCATATCTTTGAAGTAGTTTTTGTTACAAAAACATACACTTACTGACTGGTAGTATACTTGGCACTATTCAAATAAAAGAAAAGTTTGAAGACATATACTCACAGTTGGATAATCGATCGTAATTCGAAGATCAGCGATCTTCCTATAGCGCTGCAATAACATTGCATTGCCCAAATTGTACTGATGCTCAGGCAATCCATACGATGTATATGCAAAGAAGGATGTCGCCAATTCACGTAGCTGTGCCAGTTTGCCTAGCTGGACCGACCTTGGATCATATGCAGCAACCCACCAAAGCTTTTCCAGAACCGGAGCGGTGATGTCAGCCACCGGTTGACTCTTGAAGCACCAGATACGCAGTTCTCTCAGCATTGGTGACACAACGGTGAGCTGCTGCAACCCATACAGAATATGCAAATATATACCGAGGAGAGACTCTGAACAGATTGAAAGATGGGACACCCCTTGAGCATATTCGAGAGAGAGTAGCCGCAGAGAAGGGCAGCGGGACGACGAGAAGGTGTCGCCAATGTCGGAGGCGCCTTGGAAGCGGACGTGGCTCAGAACCATCACAGTGAGCTTCGTGAACACGCCCGACGGTGGAAGCGCGAGGCAAAGGTAACCTAAGTTGAGGAGAAGCCGTTGGGCCCTGTCGAAGCAGGGCAGCTCAATGGCGTCCCTTATCACGGCCTCGGCCATCTCCTGATTTCTCCGATCCTCAGGTACCACATTGCCGAAAAAGAGCATGCTGGTGAGGCGTGGCGCGGCGAGACGGAGTACCGCGGTTATGTCCCCCGGATCGGCGTCTTTGGCGACAACGCCCAGCATCAGGAGCGCGGGGCCCGAGTGTTGGGCGAGCGCCGCGCGAGCGGAGGCAGGCGAGGGCAGCGCGCGGGCTGGTTCGACGGGTAGCGGGGAGCGCAGCGCGCGGGCTGGTTGGGCGGGGAGCGGGGAACGCAGCGCTGGGAGATGCGCCAAGAGGCGGCGCCAGCGGTGGGAGCGGACCCTGGTCCGCGCGGCGGTAGCCGGCGAGGGCAGCGCGAGGGCCGGTTCGGCAGGCGGCGGGAAAAACAGCACTGGGAGCTGCGCCCATAGGTGGCGCCAGCGGCGGGAGAGGACGCTGGTCCGCGCGGCGGCGGCGGCGGCGGCGGACGGGAGGCGGCTGAGGATGAAGAGGAGGACGTCGTCGGGTAGCGTGCTGAGGCGGTCCTCCCCCTCGCCGCGGCCACCACCTTCGTCACCGCCGTCGGCGAGATCTGGGGGAGGGAGGGTTGGGGTAGGGCGGCGGTTTCCCCCGGATATGTAGAGCGCCGCCCGGAATTCCTCCCAAATGTCACACATCGGCAATTCAACGCCGCCGCCCCAAGATCACCTCCACCTCAGTTGTGTTGGATCTCTCTCTCGTCGCCGACGAGATCTGCCGTGGCGCTGCCGACCACGGAGACTTGGGGGGTTTTGGACGGAGGTGGATAGGCAAGCCAGCAATGTCGCCACTCGACACACACTCTGACAGACCAGCAGGCATAAGAGCTCACAGAGACAGAGTGAGTAAAAAAACTCGTGAAGTCAACTGGTTTTAAATTTAACTAAATCTATATCTAATAATGGCATGTTCGCTGGTTGGTTTTTGGGTTGGTTTAGGTTGGCTGATGCTGGTTTATTGTGAGAGAAAAATACTGTTGGCTGACTGGTTTAACCAACAAACGAACAGGTGAATAAATCTATGTCCTTTTTTTGGGTTGAACGTGAAAGCCGTCTCATATCCGATGTTGTGTTCGTTATGGAAACCGATGGGCAAACGACGCTGGATAAGCCAAACGATGCCGACGACGCCGTATCGTGTCCAAACATGTGACTTGCTTCTTCTCCAGAATACTACCCGACGTATACACATGCCGGTAGAGAACGTGACTTGCTTCTTTCTACAAAACACTCCCCTACACGGAAGCTCTCTAGCTTAAAAGCACCGGCCTCTCTCTGGCATAGCTTGGATTTCGTCTTGGGGTTAGAGAGCGCGGCGCTAACGAAGTCATCAAGCACCGGAGCTCCAGCGACGGGCTGAGGCGCGGCGCTCGTGTGCGCGCTTCTTTCCGGCCAGCCTGGTGGTGCGGACCTCCGTGGCTTTTAGCGCCTGATCTTCTGGGTTTCCGCATTGCCCTTGTAGAGCTTGTGCGTGTCAGCGCGTGGATGCGGCGGTAGAGCAGCTCGAGGAAGTCCTTGAGGTAGCCGAATTCGGCAAGCGCAAGAAGGTTACATGCGAGCGTCTTGGGATGGTGCTTGTGCATCCAGAGCGCGGCGGCATAGAAGCCCTCCCTATCGGACTTGCACGGCGCACGTCGCGGAGGTTCACGGTAAGCTTGAGTGTGCTGAGCGGGTCAGTCATGTGCCCATGCAATGGTGACGAACTCGCGCACGCGCTACGCCGACGTGTCGGGGATGACCTAGATGAAGAGGTGGAGGCAGGCGGTTGTCGGAACTCGTGTAGGTGGCCGAGTTGTTTTCCATCCGCGCTGTGCGAGGCGCCGTTGGCAGCGTCAGAACCAATTGGAGAGTCCTCGTTGTTGAAGCAGCCGTCGAGAAGGTCTAGAAACGGGTGGAAAGGGGTCGATTGAACCAATAAATTGTTGAGATAAAAGAGAATCTAAAAATTAAAATATAGGCAGAATATGTTCAGAGCATCTCCAACCCTGAAAATTATTATTAAAAGGAATCAACATGAGCTGCAGGAGATGCCTTTCCTTGTTCTTAGGTGGATTGTGAAGAGTTAAAAAAATAGTAGACACGAGTGTTGACAAGGTTAGTATGCCAAATCAACCTAATTTAGGCTTTGTTCATCCATTGCAAACCCCCAAGAAGCAAGGGACATGTGAAGAAAAAGGTAACCAAAGAAATTGTCTAGGCGTCATTCACTTGCATGCATATTGTTCTCTGTCTAGAATAGGTTCCTCTCAAAAAAAAGAAAAAAAAAGAAAAGGCCTGCAAGAAATAGGAGGGGAATTGGTTATGCCCGTACACGGCTCTATCATGCAGCCACGCCCATACTACCGACCACATACCCATTGCAACGCATGGGCATATTTGCTAGTTAATATAAAAAGATAAAATCTATCTAGATTAGATAACATGATAATAATAACTACTCCCTTCGTCCACAAAAGAATGCAATTATGGTATTCGTGCTGGTAAACTGAGTTCAAGTTTGACCAAATTTATAGTAAATAGTACTAGCATTTATGTCTCTAAATAAATTCTATAACTCATCTAATGGTACTTGTTTTATATAAAAAATGTTTGTATCTTTTTTATAAAATTTAGTCAAAATTCAGAATGTTTGACTCCTCGAAATCCGAGAATTGTATTCTTTTGTGGACGGAGGTAGTAAGTGATTCAAGAGCAGTCACCACTTAATTTTTTTAGCCCTAAAATAGAGGATCTAGATCAAATCATCTCTCCACTCTATCTTCTTTTTTTTCCTCGTTCTTGTCAAGAAATCCATCAAAAGTGTATTTCATTCCAGTCATCTTTTTTTTTATTATCGGTTGAACTCCCTCGTCACCATCGTCTCCTACCAACTCCAGTGGCGTCCCGCCGTCGCCTACAAGCACCGCCACACTAACCCGATGAAAGTTGTCAAGATATCTTCATCATACCCCCGCCTTTGTCCTGCCCAACCGTCTTCCCCCCAGTGCCCCGCCGACGGCACCACCGCCACCTTGCCCCACGACGCCCCAAGCGCGGCACCGCCGTCGGGCCGGCCTTCTACGTTAGGAATCCTTTTAAGCCCGCTGAATGTAGGTAAGCTCCAAAACTACAAACCCTAACCCTAAACTTGCCGAAGTTAGGAAAGAATAGCACGTAGCATTCTTAGATTGGGCAAGAAAATACCGGTGAAAGAAGGCCTTAAATCATTTGAGTGATGTTTAGTTTTATTAAAAAAATACTAACATTTATGTATCATTGCGTATTGCGTTGGTTATAAAATATATTTTCATATTAAACTAATCAAAGACATAACTGTTGATTTTTTCCTATAAATTTGACGTGTCTAAAAACTAGAATTATATTCTTTTTAGTACGGAGGGAGCAATAAAATTTGAAAAAAAGAGTTGACAGTCTCGCGGAGAAGGGTTTTTGCTAGCCGTCAGTGGCACCGTCCATGTAGACAAAAGAGGCGCTAACAACTAATGTAGTGTTTGGTTCCGGGGATGAAATGGTCCCAGGTGAGATATCCCACCTTGGCTTGGTGTTTGATTCAGAGTCAACCAGAGACAGAATCATCCCACTAATAAGAGATATATATACTCCTTAGATCCGGGCTCACCTCGGCCCTAGAAAGCTCACGGATGGGGTTATCTCAGGTGGGACGAGCATGGGCGCACACGATTGTGCCTGTTACTGTTGGTGGATGGCAGCGGCGCAAGGGGCTACGGGCGGGCGGGGTCACAAGCGCGAGGGGCTCCGTCCCAGCCCCGCAACGTGGGAGATGCAGACGAGACGAGGGAAGAAAGGAGGAAGAAAAAAATAAAAAAAATTATGACATGTAGGTCCCATATGTCATAGTCAAATCCCACTTTCATATGTCCCCAAACCAAACGTATGACAGGGATGATCCCAGTCCCCTCAACCAAACACAAGATGAAGTCATCCTGTCCCTCAAAACTAGGTCAGAACTATCTCGTCCCACTGTGTCTCCTAACCAAATGCTACCTAAGATTTCCAGGCGGGTCTTACTTGAAAAAAGACCAGATCATAGTAAGGGTTCAGTACCATTTCAATCAAACGGACTCGTCTATAACCACAGCAAGATCAGGCATTATCACTTCAATGGGCTAAAACTCTTTTTGACCTCAGCAAACACATGTTGCTACTTGCTACCTTCTACTTCAGCAAGCGTAAAAGATTTCTTACATTTTGTTCACTATTGCGCTGTAGAAATTTGAAATGGACTTATTCTTCTGTGCTGTTGAGACCTATTTCCATGCTGACAATCTCGTACAAGGTTCAAAACACAAAAGTTGCCTAAAGCAAATTCATGCTGCCAACGGAATTTCAGCCGTACGATTTCGCTAACTAGGCATAATGAATCAGCCTATACTAGCGCAGGCAAAATGCTTGTCATATAAGCTATGGTCAGTCTGCACTCTGCGAGGAGAAGAAAGCAGGAGCATTTGGAGATCCGCTTGCTGGGGATCGCCTGTTCTCCTCACAAGGGTCAGCTGTGTTGTTGTAGGCCCAAATTCTCATCACAAAGGGCAAAGGGGTGAACGGAACCGGGGATGGGCTTATGGCCTAGACGAGGGCATTCCCGGTGGGTCGGGGAAAAGCCCAGCCCCGCTAGCCCATGAGAACCTTATAGACCTGGGCCATGTTGCCCACTGCCGAATGCACTACATGGGTAGCACGGCCTGCTTTCTGAACACGCCTAATGACAGGAAGGAAACGCGGGCGGCAGCGATTCGAATTCTGGTCAGCCATACGGCTACTGGGCCTTTTTACCATCCAATCCTCCTTTCACATTTTACCTAGACCCAACTATTAAAATAGGCTCTCACAAAAGGGCAAATGCTCTGTTCGCTTGAGCTTATTAGCCAGAATCAGTCAGCTAGAAAATAATATTTTTCTCTTATAACAAATCAGCCGGAGCCAAAATAAGTCCTGTCGAACAGAGCCCAAGTGTGACTTTTCAAGCATTAATTAAA